AGATTGTGACAAATGCCAAACTGGAGGCCAAAGAAAGTGCTGCCAAAGTTCAAAGGAGTTAGGGAGGAAGTTGGTGCAAAGAGATGTGGGGAACATACGAAATTCAGACAGACCTTCGGGGTGGATGAGAAATTAAAACCACAAGAGGGCTGAGAGGCCATCAGGCAGAGCAAAGGAGTGGAGAAATAAACAAAGGGGCTAGCCAGAGGCAGTAACACCACTGTGACATCACCACGACAGGCTGTTGGGAAAAAGGAAAGGGAAAGCAAAGCCGCAGAATCGGATTTTTATTTTATAACCAATGGCCACAAAAATATTTTCGGTACAGGAAATAATAGGACCAAAGTTACTAAAACAGAGAGAACACTTAAATAGAAAAAAACGCAATTAAAAGAACTTTTGTCTTGCCAAGTTCCCTGAGTGGCACCAACGGTTTACACTCGACTACTAACCTAGAGGTTGGAGGTTGGAACCCACCTGGTGGCACCACGGAAGAAAGGCCTGGCAATCTGCTTCCATAAAGACTGCAGCAAAAAAAAAAAAAAACCTGTGAAGTTCTACTCTAACACATGCGGTCACCATAAGTTGGAAGTGGCCACAGGGCAGAGGGTTTGTTTTGGAGTTTTGTTTTTTGTTTGTTTGTTTTGCACACTGTCATGACTTCAAGGACTTTCTTGACGTAGGGATGTATGTGTGAGTAGAAATGTGTGTCTGTTAGGGAAAAGGGTGTAACATCTTGCTAATGTTAATTATCCCTTCAGAAATATAAGCACTTTGGGATAAGTTCAGAGTGAAATGCAGGGGAAAAAAAAAAAAACTAATTTTTAAAATTGTACTGCTAAAATGGCCTAAGAAATAAATTATTTTTATCTCAGCTGCACACAGCCTTCAATAACCCGTTAAAGGCTATTTTCACCTCCTCCTTGCCTTAACTCAAGCATTTAACAATGCACATTATATAATTTTTAGCTTAGGCCCTTTGAAAACACACTGTGAAACGTTTCCATAGCTCATTTTAGGAAAGAGAAACAATTTAGAAGTGCTATTTGCAGTAACTTTGGATGGTTAAAAACTATTTAACTTTCTAAGTCTCTGGGATGAGCTGTGGGAGTTTCAGTTCATTTGTAAAATCAGTTTACTGGTTTTCCCAAATATCGCCCACTGCCCTCCCCTGTAGTTCCAGCAAGCAATCTTGAGCTCTTCCGTCATTAAGCCTCACTTTTTAAAGTTGAAGGCCCATTTCCACAAGGCCGTTTCCCCCAACGTATACTGCAAGTCTGTCTGAGCAATTAGAAGCATTTGTGTTCCATACAGCAACACAGCCCTGGTCTAGCCGGGGCAAATCAAGCTAATGTGAGCACTAAAGTAAAAGACTCCAGGTCATTCCAGGCAATCAGGAAGTCTTTAGAGTATTTTAAAAGGTTATCCAGTCTGTGCGCATGCAAAGAAGAAATTCTAGTGCGTTTAACATAGATAATTCATTTCTAAAACACTGTGTACATAAGAGCTGCTGTTTGTTGGAAAACCTCAATAACTCCCTATGCAAATGACAGAAGGTGAGAACATGACAAAGATTAAGTACATAGCAGTGTAATGACCAGACTAAAACTTACCATAAAGCAAAATTCAAAGCCTGGAAACTGAGCAAAAAAAAACGAAAATCAAACCCGTTGCAATTGATTCGATTCCAACCCACAGCGACCCTACGGGACAGAGTAGAACGCCCCATAGGGTTTCCAAGGAGCAGCCAGTGGATTTGAACTGCCTACCTTTTTGGTTGGCAGCCAGCTCTTCAACAACTAGGAAACTGAGCACAGCTACTTAAATGCACCTTAAACAGGCCCTGCCCACCTAAAAAGTATCTCTTTCTCCCCAAGTGGACAGAAGGGCTTAAGGAGCAGTCAATTCTCCTGATGGCAATTTGCCAATAGTTACATCCTGAACTTCATGACAACGCAGTTGAGTGTTTATCCAGCAGGTGAGCAGCTCAGGCCCAGGCGCAGCCTCTACAAGGAAGATGAGTCAGGCACCTCCACAAGCTTACAACTGGCTTCAAGTACTGCATTTCCGCATGAAGCCGTCCCAGGAAGATCATTAGGATCCTGACGCCTTCTTCAATCAAAACTACATCAAACCAACCTCAAGGAAAGAGAAATACTGAGCTGGGACTGTCCCTTGTGGTCACTTCACTAGCAGTTAACCCACTCATCAGAGCATCTGTCTCCAACAACATCTAAAAACCTACTTATCTATACTCAAACAAGGAGCCCTGGCAGCACAATGGTTAAGCGCCTGGCTGCTAACCAGAGGGTTGGTGGTTGGAACTCACTCAGTGGCTCCATGGGAGAAAGACCTGACAATCGGCTTCCATAAAGATGACAGCCGGGGAAACTCCATGGGGCAGTTCTCCTCTGTCACATGGGTCACTATGAGCAGAAACTGACTCGACGGCACCCAACAACAACACACCCAAACATCCCACACTCCTGCTCCAGGTGTTCACCGATTATCACTATCATTTATTTATGTAAATCATGCACATGCCTGAAGCCTGTTATTTACCTTTTATCCAGGAACACTTGGTAAAGTTACAAGGAGTGTTCAGAAGCAAAGTTTAAATCTGTTCTGATAAATTAAAGCAGCCCAGGTTAATTTCATTTGCACTTTTTCCTCCTTCACTTTTTAAGACTGAAAAGTACTACTGACAACTGTATCAAAAACAGTGGCATGAAACACATCCCAAATTTTCATTGCTACACGAAATCCACTTCAAGAAGCCAGGGACTGTGCTGGGACCGGAGACTCCCCTACCTGTGGCTGGCAAGCAAGCCACTTGGCCTGAGTTCAGTTTCTTTATGGGTCACTGGAAGGAGCGGTACTTGATGATGTTGTCAGGTCCCTTCCTGCCCAGCACTGGGGCTTCCTTCCACTATGCCCAAGCCAAATGATAGCATGAAAACTTGGCAGAATCAACCCTAAACCTGTTGGCAAAATAAAGCCAAAAAAGGGGGAAACCGACAAACTGGATTGTCTGAAGCGACTGAGGCAGACTCCAGACATTACTGCTTTGTCCCCGAAGCTGTTAAAGTGTTCATCAGCCAATGACCCCAGCGTCCCTCGCAGACCTTCCAAGGTGAACTTTATTGTCTACAAATTAAAGCGTTTTGCAAATTAAACCCCTCTACACAATACCCCGCAAATTGAGCTTGGAAAGGAGTTACAGTCTGCCTTAGAAGTCACACGCTAAATTCTTCCAGAACCCCTTTGTAGTTAAACCGCCCTGAATAAACCGGGAGAGCAAAGCTATTGTGAGAAAACTTTGGTTCAGGTGGCTGTAACAGAGTCATGTAAATCTGGGACAGGGAACAGCTGAAATCCGGCACAAAAGCGCCCTTCGCCTAGGCGAGGACCTCTTTTATGCGATCTGACAGCAGCTTTGTGCGGGGATTCATAAATAGTTCCAATAAATACAGTAAGTTCTCCCCGCAAAGCTCGGCCTCCCAAGTCCGCTGCGCAGGAGTCCTACAATCCAGGAGGATTCTTCCGGAAGACACGCGTGCCCCGGCAACCCCGGCCACCCCCACGGTCCCCGGCGTGACACCAGGGAGGACGCACTCGCATGCCCAGCCCCAAGCTTCATCCCCGCAGCCGGCTGAGAGGCCCGTCACTCCCTGCCTGCCTGGGGCTCCCCAGCTCCCTGGGCCAGTCACTCTCAGCCTCGGGGGCTGATCTGCGCCCTGGCCAGCCACGCAGCCCCTGGTTCCCGCACCCTTCTCTCTGCCACCAGCGCCTGCACGCCGGGAGTGTCGGCGGAGGGGCCGAACGGGACAAGCAGGAAGAAAGGTGAGGAGTTGCTAAGTGCCGAGCCCAGCCCTGCTCAACCCTAAGGGCAGTCAGCGCGGGGCAGGGGGCGCCCCAGGCCGCGGCAAGGCCCAGGGACACTGTGGAGAGGGCAGAGGGGACCTGGTCCCCCGAGTCCCTTCCCGGGCACGGCCCCACCCCGTGAGCCCCCGCCGCACTCCTAACTCTGCGGAATGGCCACAAGTTTGCAGCGGCCACGGCGCCCCCGTGCCCCGAGCCCGTCCCAGACGTGCTCCCCAGCAGCGGCGCTTACCTCGCGA